GAATCTACTATATTCTTATTACGAAAGATGCCAAACTTTGGAAATGGAATATCACACATCGATTATAATGATCATGAACCACCTCTTGTGATGGTCGAAAGAAAGAGTGATGATGAAATTTGGTATAATGATCAAATGGCTGTTAAGTTATTGTGGCGGTATAATGCAGAACCGGATGAAATAACTCATGAGATATAGCCATAGATTAATATTTTATAGATGATCCATTAGATAGCCTATATAATTGCATAGACTATTTTGGAATTTCATCAAATAACGGGGCTTTTTACTGCATATTCCTTTTATTAATTCAAAGAAATTTTCAATTAAAACTGGCTATCACGCATTTCTTTTGACTTATAATGAACATATAACAAATATATAGTAAAACTACTGTATATCACACGCTGTTATACTGTATATGTTACATGACACATTCTAAACTATGTATATTACATGATCTAATTGTTTAGCCAAACTACTTGATATAACATGTACTGTAATTGTATGCTTATGGATAAATAGGGTTGGTGTAATATACTGTATATAATAATTTTTTATATAACAATCATAAAATGTACTATACAAATTAATTAGAAGTTATAATAAAATTTAAAAAATTTTACAGTTTGCGCGTGGTGCATGTGTACTAATTTCATGTAACATACAAATCAAATTAATTCATTTAATATTAAGGTTGGGTTGGTTTTAGACGCAGAGAAAAATATAGTTTATGCTAAAATTTTACAATTAAAATTTTGAGAAATTAGAGTATCCATGTGCATACATATATACAAATAGAATTTATACATTTTATATTTCAACAATAAAATTGAGGAATGAGTCGTAATCCCAAAAGTGAAAACCCAGATTTTATTGTAGGACGGATTGGGATTACGACATCAATCAGCTTTTCTCGTATTTTAATAGAACTATACGAGAAATCGTACGTATGTACGATTAATCTTTCATTGAATACCTGTAACGTGATGTATTCAATTTTCTCGAGCAGGTCTTGGATGGACTTTGACATATACTTTGGGTCAAAGTCCTTACGAACATGGGTTCCAGCCATCAGCATTGCTAATATAAGCTTTAGCTCATCATATTGTTTCTTATTGAGGGGCGAATTTGTAGGCCTACTCGATTCGAGAGCCCCTACCTCCATTTTAAATTGGTAGGCCAGACCTGAACAAACGAACTGTCTATCTGGACGAACGCCGATGCTTCGTCTACTTGTTTCATTTGAGCGTTCATGTTGATGAATGTGAGTTCCTTGTTTCGAGGTGGTGACGAGCCTAAGCGTGGTGATAAGCGTGACTGCGAATGTAATGACGCCTCCCTGCTCGCCTTACGACTTGAATTCGTGAATGATTCATCCCTATATCAATCAATTTTTGTTTATAAGACAGAAACTGTTGTAAGTCCGGAGCAAATAGTAATGTATATCACGCGGTCTGACAGAGAACAGACGGACACGGTTTTGCTATTATACATAGCAACCGCATAAATTGGCGTTAGTTGGATACAGTGTATTATTTATTCGATTTAAAAAAATTAACTTTCGACGTTAGGGTAAGGATAAGCATTGGGTTTGTAGTAGAAAGAATACTACATATAGCAAAATTTTGCAAGAAATTTTTTTGTTAAGACGCAGAAGGTGGTTTTATAATCAAAATTTACATCTGATCCTGTGTCGTCCGCTGACATTTTATGCGTTTTGCTATGTGGGTAATTATTTTTGAATCCAAACCAAAAAATGTTATTACGTCATATATAAAATTGCCCGAGTTCAAAAATAATTACCCATGTATAATGTTTTGCTAAACCTCTACGCCATACGTTCCGGAAAGCAAATATATCTTGTCAATCAAGAAAATGAATATATCTTGTGTCAATCAAGAAAACGAATATATACATACATTTTATATTTTACGTATTTTAGATCTGAAACTAAAGCTTGGAACAATGGATATATTACTTCAATGTGCCATGCCTTTTCAGTCATGATTTCTAGATTCATTTCTAATGAATGCGTTTGCTATAAAAATTATTTATAAAATTGGTAAAAAAGATATTATGTATAATACATGAATATTAATAATGTATCTATATTTACTATGCATTTATGAATTTGATTAGCCATGGCTCATCGTTAAATGACGCGTTTTCCGTGCTATTAATGTTATATTTAATCCATGCGGAAACTTCATTAGAAAGAAGGTCAGGCTGGCACGGAAGTGGGTTGTCAACAATTAGATAGTATTTTTCATCAACCTTGTGTAACTAATATCAGTTGAATCAAAATCAAAATGTAATAGCATTTCTTGATCATTTTTAGGCTCGATCATCTGCGAAAGCAAGTAATAATAATATAAGGTTAAATCAATAAGGGTTTTATTTAATTTCATTTTAAATTCACTGTTAAGTTTTCAGTCATTTTAAGCCAAGGAGCTTCTCTATTAGAATTAAGTTTTTTTTCTATTTCTAAAAACTTTCTATGCCCAACAATAGTTAATTTAATATCCTCCCAATTGTCCTGGGTTGTACTTAAATATAAAATAATATTAATTAAACCAAAAGATTTCATATATCAGGAGATGACTAAAATTGCTTAGAAAATGCAAACCCGCAATTGACCCAGTATAAATGCTTTCTTCACAGTTTGGTTATTGAGGGGTTTCAGAATTAACGTGCGGAAATCTAATTTGGACAGAAATAGATAACGTATTTATTTTCAAATGAGCGATGTATCAACTTTATTTCATTTTCCGATAACTTTGTAATAATAATTTTTGTCGTTGAAAAGTTTATTATTAAATGGGAGTCTCTAAACATTCCCATTTCATTTTCCGATTTCAAAATTTTGATATACAAATAAAATTTTTTAAGCTCCTACTTATTTTCGAAATATGCTATTTTTTTTTAATTCTGAAACCCCTCATTATAAGAGGTCGAAATATCCTTTTTAAATGCTTCTATAGCAGCACTAGGGGAGGCATAGTTCCTGGGAAAGTCGGTTTGAAAAACAAGCCATTTAAGTCACATGATGTGTTTGTCCATTTTTTTAATCAAGAGTAATTAAGCGAAACGAGCAATTAAGCGAAAGCGAATTAAGTAAATGTATTTTCTACGTGATGGAATAGAAGACAACCAATTTCTACAAGCGATTGAATACTGGTCAACACCCTATTTATATAGACGAAAGTAACTTAAACATTGGTAAATACGCGTTTGTGTGTTTGATACTCATTTAATGTTATAATTAATTACAACCACTATCCTATCTTGTAAAAGCAATTGAATCTGTAATAATGAAGATGATTTAACGCATTTCTTCTCTCACTTAATTATCGATCTAGATTAATACTGTGATAAAAACGTCTACATGTATTTTTATAGAACATTCTGATAAATATTGAGTGGTCATCATCAAATTTTAAAATCTTTCAACATTATATTACATTTAACTACGTTGTTTCTTAGTAAAATTATGGGTAATAACGATAAAGACTATTTTACTTAAAAAGTGCAAATAATGTAGAATAAGAAGGCGATATATTATATTTGCCAGACAAACACATGGAATTTGCGATTTAATTATGGACAAATCCGGACAAACGGAATTGTCTGACTGAATCTAAAAATCCTATGTGAAAAACTGGGCAAATCCCAATCTCAAATTCATAATACCTAATTCCAGCCAGATTCCAAATCCCATCTCATTCCGAATCTCATTCTGAATCATTAGATCCCAAATCCCATCCTGAATCATTAAATCCTAAATTATGAAATGCAGTCTCTATCATTATTTGAAGGCATGAATCACTAATCAAGGGTGTTCTCAAGCACCTTAATCAATGGGTAAAAAAGTGTCGGGAAATAAAATTTATTTAGGCGGTAAATATTTTAAACTAGTCAAGCGGGTTTATTATTAAGATGAAAATGTTTAGTTTGGTAAATGTGATATTTTTATTAGTAAAAAATATTGAAATGAGGTTGTAATTAAATTGACAAACTTTTTACAGCAGACCATCTTTTTTTTATACCTGACTTGAAAATTTTTACAATTAATTGAGTATTCAAAGAGACCGCACAAGTATCATTTCCATGCATATCTTGCAAAATGTAAAAGTTAATGCATAGATGTTTACCATATGTAATTAATAATTTGTGTTTATTGATGTACGTATAAAAATTGCGATTGAAAGTATAAGTAATGATTTCTTAATGAGGTTTGTATTGTTACAATTATTTACAATCACAACTTATTAATTCCATTATGTGAAATTTTGGATATTCTTAACAGTCTTACCACAAATTTATATTGATTTAATAGAAAATGTTGGAATACTGATTCATTAAACAGACCAAGTTCTCATGATATTTAGAATCCTATTGTGAAGATTAGAAATATACTTCTCAGAAACTGTCTATCAAAAAAATAATTTCACAGGCGACCATTAAGTTCTTTAATTAACACTATGGATGGAATCAAAAAATATAGTTTTCTGTAAGAATGTTAACTATTGTAGCTTTTTTAAATATACAGCATAAATTTACTTATATTAAAACAAAAGATTCTTTCATTTTACAGTATAATGTAATAGTATAGTGTTATAAGCCGATTGGGTACTAGTCGGCTTAGTCGATTCAATAATTGATATTGTCTAAAATTTATTATCATTACATATCAGATATTTATATTGTAGAACTCCTGAATCTAAAACATAAGTTATGGTGCAGATAAATTCGGAATTCTGGAGTTTCAAGAAGATTTCAAATCTTGTAACCAGAATTTATTATTATCATTGCTTTGCTAAAGAATATATCTAGATCGTGCTTCATTACTTGGTCAATAATTTAAGCCCTGACTTATTAACACTATTCTGCATGTTATTAACGTTAACTTAAATAGTATAGCGATTGTAAATTATTCATTAATATTTTTTTTTTACATTAAAAAATCTACATAAACATTCGAGATGCTTCAAAAGCTTGAGAAATTGGTATTAAGCTGTAATTTCTGTATTTCACTGATAAAAATCAATCTGTTGGCAAAACATGAATCTCTTGTTTTTTATTTTGTCTAATTAAGTGAAATTATTTGCTGAATATTATAAAATCGATTGCTGGATCATAAAAATACGTTGCTAACAGAGATTGTAGTTACATAGTTGGGATTGTTCCCGTCATAACAACCAGTGGGACAGGGACGATGATTTACTGTGATCACAGAAAACAGCAGAATTTTTCTTAAAATCACAAAATTTACAGAATTTTAAAATTTTGAAGATTCTCGCAATAACTTGTATGTGATATTACATGATATTCGATTATTTTATTGTGAAAATAAACATATTTTATATTTTTAAGTGCATTAAACTACAGAATTAATACTACAATACCGCATAATTACACAAAAACTAACTTTACTATCACAGAATTTCGCAGAATAAGTTAACGTTAAAAAAACAACATCACATCACAATTTTTCTTAACCACACGCAGAATTTAGTGCGGTGGGGTAAGTAGGAGAATGGTATTGTATAAAGCCGAAGTTCCACTATTATATCAACAAAATAAATAATAATCTTGATTTTACACATTTGAGTATTTTTTTTTTGTCTTCACGCATCTTATTATCATCGTGTTTGCAAGGATTTCTAATCACTTCTCCAAATCCTATTTGAATATCTTTTTTCCGGAATTTTACTATTAATGCATATATGTTTACCA